AAATTAATCGGATTCTTATAACATAATAATTAAAAAAAATCATAATCATATTTAATATATAAAAATGACATTTTTGTAATTAGTATCAATTCCAAAGATAGTTAATTTCTATTTTATTAAAATTAATTAAAGTTATAATATAATATACATGTAAAAAATTATACCAAAAATATTCAACATCATACCAAAATTAATAAGGATTTTACAATATTTTCATTAAAATAAAAAAAATGACATCATATCATATTTAATTAGAATCTTAACATATCTCTCGAGTTATAATTAAATAATATCGATAAAATAAAAGTTAAATCATTTAAAAATTCATTCATTTTTTAAATGTTAATAAAATTTCAAATAATCAACATATATTAAACGTAATTTCATCTTTAGTTATAACTAATTGTAATAACTAATCGTATTAACTAATAAATGTTTCACAAAAATCTATTAATTTAAAAAGATAGATGTTTTATCATAATTGTTAGTTAAAACTAATATATATATATATATATATTGTTATGATATTTTCAGGTTCAATTTCTCAATCATAAACTTTTCAGCATGATATTTTCAAAACATCATATGCAAGTTTAGATTAAAACTTTGTCAAATTACTAAAATGCCCCTGATCAAGTTTTGTATTTTTAAACCTAAACATTGCCAAATAGCTAAAAATGTCTCTAATCATATTTTTAGAATTTTAGAATAAAACATTTTGTTATTTCAGTTTAACAAAAATAATTACTTTAAGACTGAATCTCGCATAAACCAAAAAATAAAAACTTTTTTGCTTTATAAAGACGAATACGCAAATAGCAAAGTACTTTGCTATAAATTTAAAAAAACAAAACAAAACAAAAAACAAAACAAAAGTCATACACTTGCACCAAGCCAAAAAAAAAAACACCAAATTTTCACCAAGGAATCTAAAACTAACCAAATCAGTCAGCAAAAAGGACCCAAAGCAAAGGATTAATGTGTGTTATTGCGTCAAAATCAACGGAAATGCCCATGTACTGTTTCCTAATAGATCGATATACTCCATCATAGTCATTTTATGCCATTATTCTATTGCAATTTGAATGACAAGAAGCAGATAAATGTTCCTAATTCTCAATTTATGTCTAATTTTAAAAAAAATGCTTCTTCATATAGACAATGATTGTTGCCAACATAAATCTTGTTTTAATGAAGGAAAATGTTTAACCCCCCCAACAAAAAAAAAACAATTTGCAAATCTATTCAGCCCAAAACCAAATAGCATTGGCCAAACAAAGTTAGATGATAGATTGTGAAGGAAGAGGAAATATAATTCAAAAAATGTTAACCCCCAAAAAAAAAGGAAAAAAGCAAACACTTTGTAAATTCAGTAATCAACTGATGTGCAATCGAAAGAAACTTTGTAAAACAACATCACATACATACATGTAATTAAACACATTAACAGCCAACAAAAGAAAGTCAATAAGCGAAATCAGTTTGCTAACCTTATGTAGATGTTGGTGTCGTCGATTATGATTATGTAGATGAAAGGATTTGAAAAACAACAAAAGTAATTCGGTAACTGATATGAATAATGAAATAAATAGGAAATCACACACACACACACATATATATATATATATATATATATATATATATATATATATATATAATATTGAAATTTTAATATGGAAACAATTACAATGATTTAAGATTTAATGATAAGAGACTAAATCATATGCAAATCATCTAAAAGGTGCAGAAGAAACGAATTATTAGATGGTAGGTTATGAATTTAAGTTAATTATGGATTATTAGCTGAAAAAAGTTATTTATTTTTCGAAATTTGAATTACCTTCTTTAACAGAAATCTTGTTTAAAATTTCACAAACTCAAAGGCTTTACAGTGGCATGATTTTAAATTAAATTCAAAATAATTGTCAAAAATAGACGTATTAGATGCATATTTTTTTTAGAACTGCAGCACATTTTATAAAACAAAAACAAAAACACACTAGCAAGAAGCTAGAGGAAAAAACTAGCTAGAGGAAAAAACAAGCTAGAAGAAAAATCTTGAATATCTAAATCTAACCAATGGCCAACCCGTCTCCAAACCTGCACTGCAACCGAACAAGACAAGAAAAGATGCATATGTAATGATGCATATTTAATGAGATTTATTATTAAATCATGGTTTTAAACTTTATAAGGGTCAACGATTTTGAAAGTATTTAAAGATACTAGTTCATTAATTAACATTTTAATCATAATTGTCAGATTAAAATATTTTAATTCCTTTCGGTCAGGATAACATCATCAAATTGATCCGATGGTGGAAACCTATAAAGGAAACACAATTAATGACCCTAATTGTTTGATGTCATAAGGTTTATGTTTTAAGAAAAATAAATGGAAACTTTGATGAAAATCTCCTTAAATGTAGGAATTGAAAGTTGGGTGGAATCGTGTAGTCTTTAATCCTATTTTAAGTGACACATGATAATTTAACTAATGAAATCCATTCTTAATATAAATTAGAATAAATGTCATGCATTGAGTAGCTATTTACATGTAATCTCCTTCGTTCCTAGCTATACCAATTTAGTGATTTCCTTAACAGCTCCTTTATCGAACAGGGCTTGAAATGCATTGATGAGATTTTTTTTGATTGTTGCATGTATTTTAGTGTCTTGTAGGTGATAACCAATGTTGTTTTATTGAAAAAAAATTAAAATATAACTTTATTTTAATTTAGTAAAATCGCACCTGCTGGTCCATTAAAATCATGTCCAAGCTTTTCACCATTTTTGGTTGTTTTTGTAAGTCTGCTTCCAAACCATGACTACTTGAATATGAGTCTTCTATGATTCCTTCGAGGAATCTATGTAGCAAGACTATCAAAGACGACTTCATTGCCACTGTTATGTGCCATTACGCCTTCTGTAAAGAGAAACACAAAACTATTAGAGATAATTATGAGACTAAGAAAAAACAGATACTATTTAAATAAAATCTTAGTTAAGTTGTTTTCTTAATAACTATTTTACTACTATTTGATAAGCAGATAAAATACAACTTTTACGGTCGTGAGATTCTATTATTGTCAAGACACGATATAAAACAATAAATTCCAATATTCCATTATTGAAATTAGAAGAGAAATAGAAAGAATAATAATTCAAAGTAAAAGAAAAAACCTCAGACTTTGGTTGCTAAGTTTGCATGCAAAAGTATCAAACTGAATAACACATGTTGTTAACAATATATATTTTAATTATTTGAATTTATGCAGTGGGTAATGAACGGATTCACTGAGAACATTTACAAATAGTTAGTTAACACATATAAGAGGTACTAACAAAGAGAAACACAACACATACACATGTTAATTTGAATTTGCATGATGTGGATTAGCTATTTTTGCTTGATATATATCAGGTTTGAGAGATTAGAAAATTCATAGATGGATCTCATAACATAACAAATGATTATACGAATTCTAAATGTTTATAGAAATCTAAATATATTCATGTACCTATGATTTTCTATATTTCACTTATATGGGGTCTAAACTTATCTATAAGAGTCAATATAAATGTGTATAGATGAAGAAATTCGACACTTTGCTTTATATAAAGAAGATGAAGTTGTTAATATTTTTATGAAGTTGTAAATCTTTTTATGCAGGTTTCTCTGAGAACAATTACAAATAGTTAGTTGACACATATAAGAGGTACCAACAAAGGGAAACACAACACATAAACATGTTAAAAAGCACACGCGGAGAATGACATACCTTGAAGATTCATAATAAAACTGATGTGAAAGTTGATGTATTGTTTTGTTCAATTTTCTGTAGTGCATTGATATAAGAACATACATGTGAAGGAGAAAATGAGAAATGTGAGAATTATTTATAATTTTCAAAACAAGGACAATGAGAACAAAATCGTTTAAAATCTACTTTAAATTGGAGACAATATGTTTATCTATTATTTAGTATTTCAAAAGATGATATTGGTGAAGATAATAAGGAATGAGAGTTGATTAATGATTTTCAAGAGATAATTGGAAAACATGAGGCGTGATTTTATATTAATTTCAAAGAATTGTCAAAAATAGATGAATTAGATGCATATTTAATGAGGTTTGATTAAATGATGATTTTGAATTGGGGCAATTACTAATCTAGCCAAATTAAGGAAGTCATTAGCAATTTATAGCCAAAAATTAGTAAATGTCCAATTATAGCCCACAAAACCGTAGGTTTCGATATTCGTCTACTGTTTCGTGTTTTGTATAATTTTTTTTTTCATTTTTAGGATACAAAACCGTAGGTTTCTTAAAACCTACGGTTTTGGGTGAAAAAATACGTTTTTTTTTTTTTAAATCTACTGTTTTGGGGGTTTTAACTACTGTTTTGGGGAAACCGTAGGTTTTTAAAAACCTACGGTTTTGTATCCTAAAAATGAAAAAAAAAATTATACAAAAACGAAACAGTAGACGATTTGGCGAAACAGTAGTCAACCTACAGTTGACTACTCTTTTGTCGGCTATTTTTGGCTAACTGGTTTTTTTGGCTAATTTTTGTTAAGTAATTAAAGATTTTAGCTAGATTTGTATTTTCCCCTTTTGAATTTATAAAGGTCAACGATTTTGAATGATTTAAAGATATTATTTCCTTAATTAATATTTTAATCATAAATGTTGGAATTCGAAAAAATAATTATTTCCTTAATCAACATTCTGAAAAGATTTAAAAAATCCTATTAACATTGTGAGGATGACATCATCAAATTGATCCAAAGATGGAAAACTATAGAGGAAAGTCAATCAATGGACTTGATTGTTGAAGATGATGTAATCAAGTTTCTCTTTTAATATATATAGAGATTTGAGACCTTTGAAAAAAAAAAAAAAAAAACCATGTTACATATACTAAGAAAAAAATATAAATTTCGTTACATAAATTTTAAATTAACACTTAACCCTATTTGAAAAGAGTACAAAAAACATCATCGCCTAGGCTTCCTTGATGGGATTACTCCGTTTTTCAGTGCAACACAGTACACACAACTAGCAGTCTTAACCATGCCTTGTCGATTCGTCTCATTAATTAAGACATCAAAAGCGACTTTATCAAACATTTCACTTGTTCTTCTACACGCTAAAACCAAAACTAACATTGCTTTTTCAATCTTCTCCTCAACACAGAGTCCTCTAACAACTATGTTCAAAGTGAATGTTCTTGGAGACAACTCCATCTTTATCATTTCACACAAATTCACAAAAGCCTTGTCCATTTCATTTCCATTGCAAAAAGCTTCAATCACTAGCTCATAAGCACAAGGGTCGATATCACAACCTCTTTTAGACATTTCATCAAACACTTGGTAGGCATCTTCCAATAACTCTTTTTCCTTCCTCGACCTCCTGCATATTCCTCTTAACAATGTGTTCATCATTCTCTCATCGACGTTGAATCCTGTGTCTAACATCTCTTTGTAAACCCTAACAGCTGCTTTAATCTCTCCCCATTGTAACAGTCCATGTAATAAGGTGCTGTAACTAACATAGTCTGGAGTGCAATTTCTCTCTTTCATTTGCTTCAGTAAACCAAAACCCTCCATTGGTCTACCTTCCTTAAAGTAACCATTGAATATGGTATTATAAGTCACTATACTTGGGGTTAATCCCATCTCAATTGCTTCATTAAGCAATTCTAAAGCTTCATCTGATCTTCCCACTTTGCAAAATCCATCCATAACTGCGGTGTAAGTATAAACATCGGGCTGCAAACGCCCATCTCTCTGTTCTTTCCAAGATTTCTTGATTTTTGATAGCAATTCATTAGCTTCTTCAACTTTACCCACATAACACAGCCCTTTCAACAAACAATTGTATGTGTTGATTGTGGGATCGCATTTCACCTTACCCATGATCTCAAACACTTCAAATGCCTGCTTTAACTTTCCCTTTTTGCAAAGTAAATTGATAAGTTGAGTAAAGGTTTTGACTTTAGGGGATTCAAACCCACTTTCAATCATATGTTCCAAAACTTTTTTAGCTTCCATTGGGTCATTTCTCTTGCAGCAACAATGAACAAGAATCGAAAAAGTCAAACTATCTGCAGAGAAGTCATAATTCGATAAGGTAGAGTACAATTTATACGCAAGATCCACCTCGTCTGCCAAAACCAAACTCTTAAACAGATGATTAAACTCGGCTAGGGTTTCAATGTTTCCATCTTTGATGCTACCTGCCAAATCTTTGACACTTTTGCTTCTGTATCGCTCATTTGGGAGGAACCCATCTTTGCTTATCAAATGAGAATTAAGTTTGAGAGAATATGGTGATGGTGTGATTGTTTGGTTTGTTGTTGCAGAAATGATAAAGTGGGATGGTTTTGGGGGAATGAGCAAAAGAGAAGTGAAATTAAAAGTCGATGGAGGAAATTGAAAGGAGAAAGGATGAGGTAGAGAAGAAGGCGGAGCTCTTGGTAATGGAGAATTCATGTTGGTCGGGGACCGTCAAGGGTGAAGGGCTTGCTATTAATTAGTTATGAAAAATGAACGACTATTTTTAAGCATAATGTATTATTTTACTAGGTATGATACCCGTATTATATGAGTTTATTAAAAATTAAAATTTAATATTAATATAAAAACATGAAATATTTTATAAAGTAATACTTTACATAACAGAATGTAATCTTTTGGAACATTTGCAAAAGAAATTAAATCGTTTGGAGTATTTATGAAAATTTATTATCAAATAAATATTTGCAAAAGAAATTAAATCGTTTGAAGTATTTATGAGAATTTATTATCAAATTAATAGGATGATTTTATTTCCTTATAGAACCTATTACAATTTTATGGAATTTTATTTTAAGAAAATAGAAATCACTAAAAAATGGCAAGTGGAAAATAAAAATTCTAAAACTCTCACAAAATAACAAGCGTCAAAATGAAGGAGAAGATGACATGTGCCAAAAAAAACCTTCATTTATTAAATAGGATAACAATAACAATTGGAATACTGTTACGAAATTAGATAAATTTTTATAATAAAGTTTAAAATTATTAACTAATTATTTTAAATAAATTACTAACTAAAAAATATTTTTTTTAATTATATAAAATTATTATCGTTGATTTAAATAAATACGTGAAATTATATAACTTTATAATCTATATTAATTTTATTTTAATTTTTATTCTAATGTTATTAATTTAATATAATTAGAGTGGAAAAATTAAAGTTTATAATTTAAAATGAAAAATTAATAGATTGACAAGTGGTATGAGACTAATTAAGAGACCTAATAGGATGACACATGACAAAAAGATAATAAATTTATTATTTTATTAGAATAAGGAGTAGTTGTGAGACTCATGTATTACATGGGTTGATTAAAAAAAATTAATATAAACGGCAAACTATTTGAGAACTTTGAGTTTATAAAAAAATAAGAAAAATAATGAATTATTACAATTGAAATATTCTTTATCTTTTAAATTTAAATAAATAAAAAAAAAACTAATCAGATTGAAAGTTAATTCATTAATAAAATTGATATCAATTTATTACTACATTTATTGCAATTAGTACATTAAAATATTAGGTAGAATTTAATAAAATTAAAAAAACTCATAAAATAACATGTGGAAAAAAAATTAATTCAAAACAACCACATGACATTTTGACAAATTGAATTAGAGTAGATTAATGTCATAAATACTCATAATTTTGGTAGAAATCCATGAATTTATCTTTTTGAATTTTTGATTAATTAAAGCTAAAGGTTTACGTAAGTTCTAGTATAGATGATGTTTTTTTTTATATTATTTTATTATTTTTTATTTTTATACGGTTATCTTTATACATGTGGGCACGTTATGTTAGGGGTGACAATTTATGACACAACACGATAAAAATACAAGACACGAAACGAAATTGAGACGAAACTAAATTTTGATATCGTGTTCGTGTCGTGTTCGTGTTAACTGTAAAAAACACGATGTCGTGTCGTGTTGTGTTCGTGTTCAAAATTCGATACGAAATTGACATGATTTAGCGTGTTTTTCGTGTTTGTCGTGTTATATTTGATAAAGTATTCATTAAATAAACTAATTTTTAGTATATGCTATATTTGTCGTGTCGTGTCGTGTTTATCGTTTTTTAATTCGTTCGTTTTCGAGTTAGTTAAAAAAAACACGACATCGTGTTCGTGTTACATAAAACATTGTCGTGTCGTGTCGTGTCATACAGAAACACGAAACGATAGCACGATTTGCCACCCCTACGTTATGTAGCCTTTGATTTGGCTTTTTAATTAAAACCAAAGGTTTGGGTAGCGGTGTTCATGGTTCAGTTTAAAACCGATCAAAACTAGCATTGGTTTGGTTTCACAGTTTGGCTTGCGACTTCAAACTTTCGAAACTGTAATGAACGGTTTGCTCACTATTTCAAAATTTTCAAACCGGAGCGGACCGGAGGATATATATATATATATATATATATATATATATATATATATATATAGAGAGAGAGAGAGAGAGAGAGAGAGAGAGAGGAAGGATCATTTGAGAACTCATAGTTTTCCGAGAACCCGGGAACTAAAAGTCATTCGTTAGATCAAAAAAAAGGATGGTCAAGATGCTTTGTGGCATTTTTGTAAATAAATGAGAAAGTAAATGAACGGGGGTACTGAAACAAAATTGAATTGGGGGTATTTTAGGGATATAGATATTGACCCTGTTTAGAGAACGTCAATCCAGACGCCTTGTTCCGAGTTTTGAAGATGATACCTTCTGGTGGATGATTTCTCTGTAAACTCTTACATGACTGCCATGGAGTTCGTCAATCTCCCCTAGAAGCCACATCACCGCCATCACCTCCTGTAAGACCTACACCATCGCCATCGTCTCCTATAAATTGACGATCTCTTCTCCTTCCTCCCTACATCGGTCTACTACTCTTCTAGTCAAAGATCTTCCACATCAGCCTCCTTCCCTCTCTGTCGACCATCAACAATTCATCATTAATCACACGGTGAAGGTAATTTTCTTCTGATCATTGAATTTTCTAGTTTTTGTTTGGTTCCTAAGATCCAAAAATGACAGCTAGGGCATATATCAGGTTTCAAAGTTTTGAATTCTCTACATTGCTTTCTGCATATATCACGTTTCAATTGATCGATTTCGTTCCATGGATCAATTGATCTAATCCATGCCTGAGTCTCCTTTATGACGACACACCTGCACCTCACTCATTGTCACTTCTTCCTCCCTTCTTACAAACTTCTCTTAACCGCCGCTCCAGAACCTCGCCTTTGTCAATTCGGCGTCCGTCACCGCCGCTGCCTCCTCGTCACAGATTGTGCTTCGTCACCGAATGAAACAAGGTTTGCAATTTGTTGCTTCATTTTCAAATTGCATGTGTCTCTGTATGTATTTGTTCGAGTTGATTTTTTTACCTAATTCGAGGTTCGTTAAACGAATTTTGTGCTTTAGAGTTGCCAGTAGGAAACCGGCGAGGACCAATGCAGATCTCTGCATACGATTTACGGGAATTTATGTCCGATGCTGGGTTTCCTGACGGACATGTTCCTTCTTTGAAGGAGCTTTCGCACCATGGCAGGTTTAGTTTTTGTAGCATTATATTACTCTTCTTTATTTCCAATTCCTTGTTCTGCACTTGAATACATGTCTGCTGATATGTATGCTTTACTTATCATGGAAAACATTCCTGATACTAGAAATTGCTTGCATCCTTAGTAACAAATGGTTAGTAGGAATCAGTTAAAAAAAAATTAGTAGAGTTGTGACATGATATGAGGGTGTTTATAAATTTTTCTGTGAGGAAAATCACTTCTTACCTGGGTAAACATGGAGATTCAATGGAAATTTATCATATTGGCTTAAGAAATCTGTATATCATTTGATTTCAGGTCTATCCTCACACTGTATTAAAACATACATTTCATTAGAAAGAAATTTATATGCTTTATGGAAATGGCTTCTACTTGTTGAGAATTTTTTTGAATTATTCTTTTGTTCTTACATTACTATATAGGCAAGATCTTGCGAACCTTGTGAGAAGAAGAGGATACAAACTTATTAAAGAGCTTCTTGCAGCCTCACAAGAGGTCAAAGTCAATGATTTTAATGTAGATGAGAGCTTGACTGATAAGCAGGAAAATACCAATACTGAAGAAGATGAATCAACATGTGTTTTTTTTTTCTTTTCACTTTTTACAAAATGGAATAAAGTTAAACTCAAAGCTCTTCTTATTAAATCATTTGTATTAAAAAGATTTAGATGAGAATGGAACAAAGTTGGCTGAAGCTGTGTTGTTGTCGAATGAAGAGACTTCCACTAAACCATGAATCTACTAATGAAATGAAGGTATGATTTTTTTTTTTTTATCTGTTTTACCTTTTTGCTAACAAACATGAATCTACAAATGTTGCTAAAGTTCAGAATTCAACTTCAGGGTTCAAAAGATGGGCAATAAAATATCCATTTATCAGATATTGTGATTTACATGTGCATCACGTGTGATTCACATGCGAATCACTTGTGACACATGTGAATCACTTGTGACACATGTGAATCATTTTTGATTTACATGTGAATCACATGTAATTCACATGTAAATCATCTTAATTTTTTTTTCTAACCATATAGTTTATTTTAATTGTTTCTATATTGAGCTTCATGGATCGCTTGTGATTTACATGTGAATCACTTGTGATTCACATGTGGAATCACTTGTGACACATGTGAATCATTTGTGATTTACATGTAATTCACATGTAAATTATCTTAATTATTTATTTTTTTCTAACCATATAGTTTATTTTAATTTGTTTCATTTTAGAAATATATCACAAGTGAATCACATATGAATTACATGTGATTTACATGTAAATCACATATTAATCATATGTAATTCACAAGTAAATCACAAGTGATTCACATATGAATTACATGTGATTCACATGTAAATCAAATATAATTCACATGTAAATCACAAGTGAATCACATATGAGTTATTGGTTATTCATATGTAATTTACATATAAATCATATGTAATTCACATATGAATTACATGTGATTCATATGTAAATCACAAGTAAATCACATACGAATTACCAAATGTAACTCACAAGTAAATTTCATATGAATTACATGTGATTCACATATAAATCACAAGTGAATCACATATGAATTACGTCTATATACACACATGTGTTTTTGTGAGTTTTTCTTGCATTAATCAATTTTTTTTATTTTTCTTGTAGATTTGGAAGAATTTGTGGAAAATATTGAAGATGTGAAAATAATAAAGTAAAGAAAATATGGAAATCTTGATACGAAGACATGAAAATGCTTTGAAATTTTATAGTATTTTTTGTTTTTTTATATTTTATTTTGTATTGAATAAAATACTTGTATTATTGTGTTTATAGATTATTAAATAAAAATGGATTTTTTATATGATTAC